CTTTTCATTCTTGGCTGATGAATGTTAGGTTTTATGGAGCAATATTGTGTTGTTTACGAGGTGGTGAAAAAATAAAAAAAAGGTTGATGAACTATTAATGGATAGGGTTACATTCTGAGCTTGAACAAAAGTGCAATTACGGCAATTTATTTTTGTAGTTTTCGACATGTTCATTTGCATAAATTGTTTCAGGGAACAATTGTTTTTACGGAGCTTTCTTTGCTGATTGCGTACAGACTTTAGTTTGTCCTGCAGTGCGATCAGTGAGAAAAGGTATCCTAATCATTGTTGGGCATTTACCAAAGCGGTAATGGAAGAAAATTCCTCTTTTTAACAACCAAAATGATCTGAAGCAAAAAGCTTGCCGGCATCCTTGTAAACCATGCTGTGTATCTCATTCGAGACTTTAAATAGCAAACATGAGTGTATCATCGAGCAGTGGAATAGATGAAACAAGAGCAACTTCCATTTTTCTATCTTCTATCGAGCTCTGATTCTTTCCTACCGTAATACTGTAATGATTTTGGATTGGGCAGCCTTTTTATGCTAGGAGAACAACGATATGCTACAGTTTCACCGGATTTATTTCTGCCAGCTACCTATATTATTCTCTGTCTTTAAGAAATTTTTAATAGTTTTCGGTTTAACAAATTCCAATTCAATTCTTTATTCTGGGTAAATTAAAAAGCTAGTGTTTGTTGAATCCCATGGGATCCATACGCACACATTGGGTTCAGTTGGCGGTACAATTCAATGGCAAATTATACCGTTAACTCACGGGTGCTGAACAGTTAGGCATAGTTCAATGCTTCATCGAGTCGTGACTTGAGTGCATGGATAGTAGAAGAGAGCTCCAGGTGTTGCATACTCTGAAGCTGAAAGAGTAACTGATGCAGTCTAGCCGTTTTTGTTGGGTCAAAAGTTTAAATCGATGTCCCCTTAGGTCTTGCATAATGTTGGTAAAGTTATACACACGGAGTTGCTAAGGTCTATGTAATATTTCATATACGAGGACAAAGTCTCTCCCTATTCGACGGTATTCAAATGAATATATAGTTCGAAAATTTACAGCCGCCTTTCAACATAGATTTTGGATTTTTTTAAACCGTTGACCGTTTTTGTTACCGTTCTCTGTAGTCACGAATTAATCATGGACCCCAAACTCAATGGAATGCGATAATGAAATGAGTATTGAGTCGATGCTTCAGGTTACTGCTCCGCATAACTGGGCCTACCATTTCGAAATAGATGGCTCATCTATACATGTGTTTCAGTCAGTAATTTTTACATTTTTCGCTTCACTTTTCAGCACTGCTTCCTTGCTCGATAAAAAACAATGTTTTCAGTAAATCCACAACTAGCATTGCCTCCATAAATTACAAAAATAGAAATTAGAATAAATCCTTAAGGACGGGATTTATAGAGATTAGGGATATCTGGGGAATGTGAAGAAGACCGTAACATGGGCACGGATGATGATGTTAATCCATAGTTGCCGTGATCGTTTTGTTGCTTGAGGTGTACTTAGTCACATTATTGTGTTCGCCTCACGCATTCAGCATGGCCCCAGTCCACCAAAGAGAAGTGTCAGCCTGACGGGAAAACAAGCAGCACTCAAAGGGTCACAGATTTCATCTACAGGGCACACAATCGGCACGACTGCCCATTCTCCTGGCACCGAAATCTCTGATGTGACTCCTACTTCTGGAATTTCGACCACGAACGGTGATCGCACCGGGGATGATATGTCGTCTGCACTAGACAAACTAAGCTCATTCGAGAACGGTACAGACATGGTAAGTGAGTGAGTTCAGTGATTGACTCGTCTCCTCCTCCATCCGCTCTGCCTGTCTGGATCGCATGCATTTGTAAACGTTATCCCGGCCTAATACCTCCAAGGATGATTGATTTAATTGTGGTTTATATATGAGAGTGATGTTACCCCTGTATCATAGTTTCATTAGAGATTATCTCACGTCATTTAAGGATAGTGCTATTTTAGCCCAGTGCGAAGTTTTCAGGGTCACATTAGAGATGTGATGGTTTCTGTCAAGTTTGAAAATGTTCGTTCAAAAATTTACGTAACTGAGGAAAAAAATTTCTGTCACAATTAGAGATGAAAAAGCTTGCATGATTTAAGTCACGAGTGAACTTAACTATTCATTGAATTGGCATACGTTGTCTTGAAACACTGCTAAGCATTCTTTTATCAAAGGTTAGGATAGTATTAAAGAATTCTTGAGCACAAACACGAAGTGTAAAGTTTGGGAGCTTCGAACCGAGTCATTAACCTGAAGGATGGTGCTGAGATGAACCATCACCGATATCCGCAACAAGCTTGCAAAGATGGGTTATGTTATGTCGTGTATGTTCAAAAAAGGAGGCGGTCTGATCAGGTGCCCGATGACCGAGTGGGTAGTATGATTGCGCTCTGCCTGTGTGGTCCCGGGTTCGATCCTCAGTTAGTTTAATGGATTCGCTCACTGCTGATGAGACTCAGCCAGATAGAAACAGCTGCTCATGGATTGCCAGCTCACGCCTCATTTACACAACGAATGTATATATATATATATATATATATATATATATATATATATATCAAGTCCTCAATTACTCTCAAATGTACACTTGTTCGGTCACGAAATTTGACCTAAAATAAAGATAGATCAGTGCAAAAACTGCAATAAAATATTGATGCTGTTTTGTTCATCAAATGTTACATGGTCTTTCCCCCGCTCTGGATCCGTTTGTCATTGGGAACTTTCCACACCTTATTTCGATTAACTCCTTAAAAATAAGATCTACTGTTTTTTATCTTAAAACAGAAAAATAAATTGCTTTGGGGAAGATCAGACAGTTCCGTAGCTCATGATACGGAATATATATCCAGTATCAGTAAGCCTTTCGCTTTGAGTACGTATTACTAGCATTTTATACAACCAGGTGGGAGCTGCAAAGCATCAATGTGCTATTCATTGGCTGCCGATGGCTCCCTACGATTTCATTCGCCATTTGACATATACCTTGGAACCCAAGGATCTCTTCATTGCCGTCAGACAGTTTTCTTTGGAAACTGTTGGATCAAACAGTAGATCCTATTCACCTATTAGCCAGTACCTGGCCTTGCATGTTGTATGTCATCAAACCGATGTTTCCTGGTATTGGTCAGCCTCAACCGGGTTTAGTCCACGTGATAAGCGGTTAGCTGGAGTATAACTGCTGTTGCATGCCTACTTCTTGGGGTCCTTCTTGAGCATTTGGTGGGTGTTATAATCCATATGTGATATTCCTTTCGGATGCCCATTAAATCCCCTAGTTAGACACTGCAACCACAAGTGTTGTGTGAAAAATAGCACCAAATTGTTGTATTCGCTCATTTCATTAGGCATTTGATCATAGGATACGATGTTCTCTAATTCAACTCGGTGATGATTTTGTGCATCAAGATAAAAACTATGTAAATGGTAAACAGATGGAAATAATTATTTTATATTGGAGGTGGGAAATAGCGACGCTGCTGTTTGGAATAGTGATTTAAACGAAGATTTATGCTTCCCTTTGAAGAAAAATGTTTTGGATGTGTGAGGCGATCGGTCGTTATGTCAAAGTCTTTGAATCGTCAGTTCTGGTTTTAATTTTTTCGGAAATTCGGCCATTGTTCGATCATTGCAATACCTAAGCTGCAAAGAATTGTAACTTTATCTTTTCGCTTGTTGGTTTAAGCTATCTTTTTAGACTGATCTGGAGATTGCAACTTATTTATCGACTCTTTTGATCGATTCAAAATAAAATAATATACCTAATGACTGAGGAGATTGCGCACGCAGCTTCATTTGGTGAATCCGAATCAACGAGACCCAAAGGCAACGAAAAATTAATCATAGGTATGCCTTTTTGTGAAGTCGTCTAAGTGCTGTTCATATTTTCAAATCAAAATCGTTGCTGTTCTTCGTCGTTTATTCACGCCCTGCAGAAAGGTGACTCTGTGCTGAGTACGGTAGAATCGGAGACGTATCATGGTGAAGTACGTTCAGCCACGCTGGGCCGCACTTCGTCAGCAATAGCAAAAGAATCATCGGTTGACCTAGCTCCGGGATCTTCTGCTACGCTTCCTTCCAGTGGTTCAAACCCACGTTCAGCACTGAAAAGTGCTGATCGTACGGGGCCGAAAGTGAGCAAACAGTAAGTTACCTAATTTTTGGCCCCTGGTTCTTCTCCTTCTCTCTCTCTGTCTTCATGGACAATGAATGCATTTGTGGTACCGCAGCGAGGTCCATTGGAAAAAACCACGGAGCGAAAATTCTGTGCACATGATTGTTCGACCAAGAGGCTTGGGCATAGCGAGTAAACTCGTGCAACACCACAGCAATACATGCACGGACAATTGACCACATTGATGGGATCAGTCCGGTTGTAGAATGCATACAATGGATGGTCACAGTTGATATGGTGGACTGAGCATTGATCTGTCCGTCTAAAAAGTACCTAATGACGAGCAAGAGTGACTGAGGGCACTTAGCGACACATGGTTAGTTTTCTATGATCCTCTATCACGTGACTCATTCGGGGTTGGTTTTCGTTTATCTCGTTTCCACTTTTTGAAGAATCACGTGTCTCCGCACTTGTCTGCAATTCGTTTGCAGCGTTAATAATTCTTTTTTTCTCATCGGCACCAGATCAAGCGAATGACGATTCTAAATGAAACGTTTTTCTGCATTACCATCAGGTTTCATCTGTCCAATCTTTCGCTCTCCTGGAAGGGACTTGTATGTTTTTACGACCCTTCTGCAGAGTCCACTGTTGCAAGCAGAATGAGTAGTTTCCAAACTAAACACACCGATCGAAATTGCGCAAATAAAATATAAAAAATGATCCTGTAGTGGATACGTGAGGTTCTAATAGTGACGACCGGTATACATCTTGATGACACTTAGTGATAGCTACGTCTAAATCCAGACTGTGTGCTAGATATACAAACCCATAGCTACTGGGTGATTCAATTTAGTCCGT